ATAATAGATACTGTGTGAATTAGGAAGAAAAGGGGCAAATGGGAAGGGGAAATGGGAGGGGTAGGGGAAATTAAAGAAGGGAATGGAATTAATATGAGAAAATGAAAAAATGGAAACAAAGTCTTTGTAAATAGGGAGGGATGGAGGGGTTGAAGGGAGGGCTGGGCAAGGGTGAAAAATAAGAACCAAGAGAGATGATGTACAGGTGCAAAATTCCAATGATGAAAGTCATTATATTGGATACCTAAAATGTACCAATAAAATTAATTTTTAAAAAAGTTCAATTCACTCAAGATTTTTTTTAAATTCTAAATTTGTATGTATAGACTTCCAGTAAATTTGCCTCTTATATGTAAGACCATAAAGCAAATTTCAATAAAACTCAAAAAAAAAGTATCATACAAACCACCTTCTCTGACCACACCACAGTTAGATAAAAAGCCAACAACAAAAAGATTTTAAAAACCAGCATACATTTGAAATTTAAAACAAAACCTCCAAATAAATCATTGGTCAAAGAAAAAATAATAACAGAAATTTAAAACACCAAGAACAGAAAAATAATAATGCATTTCAAAACATGTTGAAAAAAAGCAAAACATGTTGAGATGCAGCCAAAGAAGTTCAGCAAATTTATAGCTTTAAGTGTTTACAGTAGAAAGAAAGAAAGCCTGGAATAATTGAACATCCAATTTAAACAGGAAAAGCACACCTAGTATAACTCCAAACAATTAGAACAATAAAGAGAAAGAATTAATGAAACAGAAAACAGTGTCATAGTTGGGTATTTGAAACAATAATGCAAGACATTCTAATAGTGAGATTAATTCAGGGGGAAAGGGAAGGAACAAATGCTATTAGAAATAAAAAGAATACAAAAGCACGTTGTTTCTAAAGTGCCCACAGCAAATCAGAGACCACCCAGACTAGAAATTGGGCCTGGCTAACTCCCCTGTCAGCAATTACAAGAGTGTAATTACATGCCTAACAAATCCTCAGTGAGGACAGGGTGAAAGTGGCACCAAAATAGAGGAGGGACACACCAGGTTGGCCTATCCCTTGGAACAGAAGTGCAGGAAGCAAAGCAGAGATACATAAAGGGTGTAGACAACTTTCTTCAAAAGAATAGCCATGTCTCTCAAATTGACCTTCCTTTAATTCTAGAAGAATTATGTAGAAAGGAAAAAGCCATTGTGATTCAGTCAATTTTTAAAGGTTCTCTGAAGCCTGTGAGAGATGAGGGAGAAGCTCTTTTTTTTTTTTTTTTTTTGAACTAGTTTACTAGAAAACATTAAAAATTCTAACCTCAATCTTAAAAGGCTCTCCCTGGGCAGTGAATTCAAACTTCAGAGGGTAGGGCTCCAACTCTGCATTACATCCTGTTTTATTCTGACCAATGTCAAACAACCAGATAAAGCTGAGACTTGGAGTTAGGTCTATGTTGAGGAAGTTCAACATAGGAGAGAAATCCACTGCAGTGACTTGAGCAGGAGACACAAGTGGGAAGCTGGCTTGAAACAGCCCTACACTTGGCCTTAGCTCCTGGAAATTACTTCCAGTTGTAAGGTGGATGAGAGCTAAGTGATCATCTTGCAACATTTACATCAAGAAGAGAGAGAACCATTCCCACCAAATGAAGGCACAGCCTGTCCAGCTGCCTGCCTGGCTGACTGTGGTTCCCAACACCACCAAATGAAATAAAATAGCATTGGCCATAGGATCACTAAAAGCAAATTAGATACAAAGGTTCAACAGGTTTTCTGTAAGTTATACAGTGTGAGGGATCTGTGTGTCATGTTTCACAGGGTTGTTTGAGAGACACAGGGCACACTGGAGGAAAGGGGCACAGATGTATGATCAAGACCCTGGGTGTTAATCCAATTTGGCTAAAGGCATGAGACCCTGGCAAGTCCTCTAACATTTCCCAACTCAGGTCTTCTGTAAAGTAAAACAATGATACTTTCCCACCATGTTGCAAGGATTAAGCCTAACAGCTACACAGAGGCATTCTGGAATCTGGGTAGTCTGTCCCCTTTGTAAATGCTCCCAATGTACCCTCTTTGCATGATTAATGTCTTAGACTTTGGGTCTATGGAAATACTTTGGGTTCATAATGTTAGTTAGCTGAAGGCAGAATATAGCTTCTTTCACCTCTCTGACAGAATCTCAAAGAACAAGAATGAACGGGTTGATATTTAGAACTGAAGACAACAAAATACTAGCCCTGAGAGAAAATGCATTATTTTGGATGGCTGAGCTTTCTGAATAGATAGAGTGTTTCCTTCTGAGTCAAAACATGCCAGACAAAACTATTTGGGATTTTAAAAAAGACATCTCTTGGGGCAGGGATTTAGCTCAGTGGGGCCACGTCTGCCTCAAAAGTGCAAGGTCCTGAGTTCAATCCCCGGTACCCAAAAGGAAAATAAATAAATAAATAAGAAATTTCTTTAACATATTTCAGAAACATTTCTGTGGCCTTAAGGAGTACATTCTGAATATCACCTTAGTTTTCCTTGAAGATATTTGGTCATTGTTCTAAGCACACTGAGCTATAACCAGCTGGTGACAGTGATAGCATTTAGTGTTGTCAAGGGCTTAATCCAATGCTTACATTTACAAATGAGAAACCTAAGCCCAGAGGGGTTAAATGACTTACCCAAGCCATACAGCTACCTGGAGACCATGACAGGACCCACAAATTTCCACCATTTCACACTGAATTTTAGAAGCCCCTGAACGTCAAAAGACCATCTTTATAGAACCCCAGAATGCTAGTGACCGTGGCACCCCAGAATATTTCTTAAGTATCTGTTAGGGAATTAGTTTACATATTTTTATATCTTTCTTCTTTGTTAGCCAAAACATCACTCACGGAAACTACACTGTAATGGGTGTGCATTTTGCTTTTTTGTTGTTGCTTATTTGCAAATGTCTTTAAAAAATCAGGCTCTTCTTGTTGGTTCTAGAAGTAAGCTCTAAGCAGCCACCTAACAGGTACGCTCTGGGGAAGCACTGGGACAGTGTTCCCTCTAACCTAAGCCCTCGCCCTGTCCATTCAACTGTGAATCCCTAACACCGCAGCTTACACAGAGGTCCCCAGCCCACCCATGGACACAGAAACACACACATTGTCCAGCTGGGTGCCATGGATTTTATCCCTAGAGCACTAAGCATGGTGCCATCCACAGTGTGTTAACAACTAGAATCCATACAGCCTCAATGAGCTATTTGCCAACTCCAGAGGCAGGAGGTGACCGCACCAAAGGTCACCTCTGACAGCAGCAGAAAGGTACTCCTACCTCCTAACACAGGGTTTCCCCATCATCCAAGCAGATGATCAGAAAGTGTTTATGACAAAAAGCAAGGTAAAGACACGAAGTAGGTATTTTCTTTCTCAATTTATCTGAGTCCTTTCGATCATTTTTGTACAAATTAAGTTGAGCTACGACTGTTAACAAATCAATAAAACTATTCACGTGCAATCCACACAGACGCACACTACTTGCCCAGCAGGAACAGAGCCCTGAACCCAAGGGGGACAGAGACAACCCCACCTCCAAAGATGCTGCACACTAAATACTCCTAACCAAATGTGGGGACCGACCCCCGCACCCACTCCAGTCCTTGCCCCTCCTACTGCCTTTCTGTAATTTGTTATCAGGAAAAGCTCTACAAATATCTCGGCTTTCCCAACTTCTTTTGGATGTTGCTCTTTGCCCCACAGCAGTTTTACCAACCATTTCCCGGGAGAGCCTCGACCTTTATCCCTTGGCATAATCATTTGGGCTACTGCAAAAGCACTGGCCTTCAAAGATGGATTTACGCCTCTCCTTTACCCCTGGACCACAAGCCGTCCAAACCTGCGGACATCGCTCGCTCCAGAGGCAGAAGTTGAGTCTAGACCGATTACTTCCAATCATTGCGTCAACACATCTCAAAGACAAAGCGCATCGTTCTGCGTGCTTTGCTAGCCAGGTGTGCGCAAGAAGCATCTATAACTTTGCTCCTATGAAAGTTTTCCTTCACACTTGAAACAAAAGCACCTCCTAGTTAGCTTACTGGAGCGGGAAAAATAAATGAAAGGTCTTCCGGGTAGTTAAGATGCACTTCCGAATGTGGGGGTGAGCCTGGTCGGTCCCCAAAGGTAGCCAACAGGTCCGCGTCTCCACGGACCTTCCCTGGTGGCCAGCTTCTTACACTTGCCGAGTCCGACGGGAAACCTGAGCAGCGGCGTCTCCCGCGGCTTTCCCGGGTGAGAAGCCGGGCGCGCGGCGTTCCGGGCACAGAGCAGGCTGGCGCACCTTACCTCGGTGACGATGGTGGAGTGGGCCTGGGCGTAGCGCCAGCCGCCGTGGCACTGCACTAGGGGCGCAGAGCGGTTGGGGAAGGCGGCGAGCGGGTCGGCGCAGCTGAGTGCACCCACGGCGGCGCTGCTGTTGGCCGCCTCCAGGAGGTAGCGCTGGCAGCGGCCGTTGCCGCGGCGCTCGGGGGGCGCGGGGCCGCGGAGTGCGGGCGCCGTGCGGTTCCACTCCTCCTCCGGGCTCCAGCCGCAGCGCTCGGCCAGCGCCGCTGCGCTCGGCCCGCGGCACCAATAGTGCTCGGGCCAGCTGCCCAGGAAGACCACGCCGACGAAGAGGAAGGCGAAGGTGACGCCCGTCAGACACAGAAGCAGGAACACGCGCCGCTGGAAGCGCCCGAACTCGCCGGCCCTCTGCAGCGCCTCGTCGAAGGAGGGCATGGTGCGTCCTCCGCCCGCCGCCGGGCCTCCGAGTGACCCGCGGGAGGGCTGGCGGCTGCTCTTCACCAGCCGCCTCCCCCGCGCCGCCCGCCTCGCTCTCCCTGGCGCCGCGCCCTCACCCTCCGCTCCTCCTGCCCCCGCCTCCGTCCCGCGGGCGCCCTCCCTCCGCTGGCCCGGGGCACGGGTGCGAGCCCCCAGAGACAGCGACGCGGGAACAGGGCGGAGCGGGGACTGGGTCCGGGATCGCGGGTGACCGGCATTGCCTCTGGCCTGGCGCGGAGCTCCCTTCCGTCCCTTCCTGCAGCCTGCCCTGCGATCCGCTCCGGGTCAGGCTCCACAGGAAGAAAGTTCCAGGATCACCCAGCCGCTCTTGGGGCTCCTCGGACTCGGTCGGTCCGTGGTCTCGCGGGCAGCCCGAGAAGACAGGACGCGCGCGCCGAGGGTCTCAGGCCCGGACCCCGGAGACTCCCTCCAGTCTAAACTCTTCAGCCGCGCACGCGGGGCAGGGCTGCCAGCTCCCAAACCAGCTAATGTACCCACCTCATAGGGTCACTGTGAGTACTGAACAGTTCAATAGGTAGCAGCTAAAATACGGCAGAAAAGCGCACACGCACAGTGCACATTATAAGAGGCAGCTCTAACTACTGTCACTCTTGCTATGGAGTTCACACCAGGCTTGTGAGATTGGCTCAGGAATTACGGATACTGTGCAGGATAAAAACCCTGGTGGTGTGGGACACATGGTATGACTCATTAGATAATACTCATCACCCCCATGATGAGGATTTTTACCTGTCTGCTGGACTCCAGACTCAATCTGTCCTCCTCTACCAGCTCTCCTCCTGTGCTGTCTTTTGGGGTCACAATGTCCCTCCTGGCCCCAGATTCAGAATCTCAGTATCATCCCCAGCTCTGTCACTCGTCAGGCTTTCGCTCAAACATCGCCCAGGGAGGGAGGTCTCATCCCATCACCTCCACCTCCACCAGCATTACCACCACCTCCACCTCGCTCACGCACACACTCACAAGCACAGCCCCAGCTCCCTTTCCTGCCTTGTTTCCAAAGCCCTTACCATCAGCTAACATCTGTAAGTATTTATTCATTCTTTTATCCATAGTTTTAACTCATCCATCTTGTTTATTTATCTTATCTGTGTGTCTCTACTCCAACTCAGGTGCCATGAGGCAGGTTTGGACTGGTTCGCTTCTGTATTGCCTCCACCTAGAGCATTGCCTGGTACCCAGTGCATGCTCAGTAAATGCTTGGGCCATAAATGCAGGCTTTTTGAGCCCCCCACACACATACGTTCACACATGTCCCCTGCACTTTCTGTACCTCTACCACCTGTCAGTGCCCCCCAGTGCCTCCCAGCTGGCTGACTGCCCTGGACTGCCCTCAGGGTCTTGCCTATAGCCACTGCCTCACAGTTGGCTTTCCCTCAGAGCAGCTCAGAGATGCAGCCTTTCGCAACTTACCTTGTTTTCCTAATTAAACCTCATTTCTCACCTCACTTTCAAAGTCTAACCTGGGCCCCTCATCAAATTGTCACCTTGTGGACAGCCAAACAGAATTACTTGCTAATCCTCAAATTCTTGAATTTTCCTAAATCTGTGCCAGTGGACGTGAAGTTCCCTCTTCCTGGAATCTCATCTTCCCACCCCTGCCAGCTCACTCCAGCAAGGCCTGGTTCGGGTGCCAGCATCTCTCCTGGAAGCCTTTTCCCTGGCCCAGCCACTTTTTTTATTATTAGTAGTACATGTTTGCAGTATATAATGTGCATTCGTTGTATGGAGTTGGTGCATGTGCATAACACATCTTAATTCCTTTTTACATCTCCTTCCCCTCCCCTCCCTTACCCCTCCCTCCAGCTGCTGATCCCCTTCCCATCGGGCAAAGGTCTATACCTCTACTTCCTATTATCTTTTATTTTACTTTTTTATTTATAACGGGTTTCTCATGTAAGAGAAACCGTGCAATACTTAAGCTTGTGTGCCTGATTTATTTCATTTAACATTATGGTCTCAAGGTATATCCATTTCTGTACAGATGACTCAATCCTATTCTTCTTTATGGTGGAGTAGTATTCCATTGAGTATAAATACCATAATTTCTTTATCCATTCATCTGTTGATGGGCATATAGGCCATTTCCAAGATTTAGCTATTACGAATTTTGGTGCTATAAACATGGGTATGCATGTTTCACTGTAATATGATGACTTTTAACTCTTTCAGGAAGATACGTAGAAGAAGAATAGCTTGGTCAAATGGAATTTTTATTTTTTTATTTTTGAGGGCTCTCCATACTGATTTCCATAGTTGTTGTACCAGTGTACATCCCCACTAACAAAGTAAAAGACAGCCTCCCACCCCTGCAGCCTCACCAGCATTTGTTCATACGTCCAACCACTGTTACATAATGTAGCCTTTCACCCTACTCTTAACATACCAAAGCGTCTACTTACAGAATTTCTTTCCATTGTTATCCGTGTTGTGGTTGTCAGGTATTTCCATTTTTGCCTTAAAAAAAAAGTAATCTGAACATGTGGATGAGTAGATGGTGTTTATAAAGATACTAAGAACCCAGACTTTGGAGCTGGACCCACTGGGTTCAAAACACTGCTCTTTATTATTGAGTGACTGTGGGCAATTTATTTAGGTCTTCTCTGTAAAGCTCAGTAATGCCTCCACTCTTCAGCTTGGTACTGGAGATTGAACTTACAGCACTGAGCTATATCCTCCGAACTTTTTTTTTTTTGAAACAAGGTTTCATTAAATTGACTAGTCTGGGCTCAAACTTGCAATTTTCCTGCCTCAGCCTCTCAGACTGGCCTTCTCAATTTGAATGCAAATCACTTAGATCATTCCTTGAAACATGCATGCTATGTAAGTCAACTATTAATAGAGAGTGCTTTTTAAAACACCATCCACTTCTAGAATTAACAAGTGTCATCTTACTATTATTGCTGTTACAAAGTGGTACCACATCAGACATAATTGGAGTCTTCCTCCTTAGTCACTTTTTTCATTGCTGAAACAAGATACCTGTCACCCAGTTAAAGGAGGAGAGATTTAGTTTGGTCTACAGTTTGTAGAGGTTTCAGTTTATAGTTGGCTGGTGTCAAGGCAGAGTGACATGACAGAGGGGCATCACAGAAGAGAAACAGTTCATGGAGTGGCAGGCAGGAAGCAGCAAGCAGCAAGAGTAGCAGCAGCCTGCCTCTCTCTTTTAGGATACCCACCTTTCAGGTGGTGTCACCCATACCCAAGATGGGCCTTCCCATTAGCCACGCCCAGAACTATGCTAAATCAATCAGTGGACTAATTTAGTTATCACGCATCCTTAATCCCAGCATTGTATTCTTAATCCCAGCCTCACACACCTTAGATCCAGCCACTTCTGAAAAGCCCCATCTATGAGTGCACGAAGCTTTGAGGAGACATCTAGGTACAAACCATAACACTCCAGTCTCTTCTCTTCCTTCTCAAGGAAGACATTAGGCCCTTCTCTTAGAACGAGAGCCTGGGGAGTAGGCTCAAGGGCATTGAGTAAGGATTCTTGGAGGTCCCGGTGTGGTTGGGAGTGGGGTGGTGGGATGAGGGTGATGAGCTTTGGGTGGACACAACCCTTTGGCTCTGGGGAGAGAGGAACAGACAAATCGGGACACCTGAAGGCCTTGATCCTGTGTAATTAGCATGTTTTTGCCTTACTTTGTATCTGTGTTTTAATCCTTTTAACTTATAGGAATTATGACAAAGAGTAGATAGTATTTGGAGTGTTGAAAATTTACATAAATGGTACCATATTCTACGTATTTTTCTGTCACTTCTTTTTTATACTCCACAGTACATTTTTGAAACCTATTAGTCTTGATAAATAAGGAGACAGATGATTTACTCAGACTGCTAATAGTTGGCCATTCTATTGAATGGTTACAGTGCAACTTTTCCACTCCATTGAGGGACATACAGCTGGTTTCAATTTTTCACAATTATAAGTTGTGTAGTTGACATATTATAATTACCTATTAAAAATTCTCTTATATTGTGCAAAAATTGATCTAAGGTAAATGCCTAGAAGTAGACTAGCTAGAGTGCATCCACTTTCAACGTTACTAAATATTGTCAAATTGCTTTCCAAGCAGTTGAACCCAACTTACATTCTGCTACCAACATAAAAGATTGTCTGCATCCATGCCAACATTTGGTCTTGTTAGACCAAATATTTTTGCAGATTCTAAGGGTAGAAAAAGCAGTCTCACGATTCTTATTTACATGTCCCTGATTTAGTCAGATTTCATGCTTTTTGTGTATTTATCATCCAAGTTTTATTTTTTGCTAGTTGCATCTTCTATCCTGTTCTTATGTTCTTTTTGTTATAGAGGTTTTATTGGATTTGGGGAAAATTATTTCTGTATTTGTGAAATTTGCTCCCTTTTCAATTATCTACTATTCTCAGCCTGTGGCTTATCTTAACTTTTTGTATAAAAGAAGTTTATTAGGCTGAATTTAAAGTATACACTCAAAGCAAATAGAGTGTAGGCTCTTGAGAAAAGCACTTTATAGTATGGAGATGGGGATATTTATGTGTTTTAGGGAGTGGAAATCAGTGCAATTTGAAAATCTACAGAAAGTTTTGGTTTAATCTAAAGGAGAAAAGTGATGGCCCACCCACAGGCAGAAAGGCAGGGCCCAGTCTATTATATTTTTAAAAGATGGATGATCTAAGATGTTTTGCCTAAAAATGCTCTTTGAAACCTTTGAATCTGTTTCTCCTAGAGTCAGGTTTCCACCCTTTACCTTATCAACTAAGATAATATGTGGACATTCTTTAAAGGATTTTGGGTGGTGATGAATCTGGAAGAAAGAAGCATAAATAAGCCTAGGGAGTACAGACATGGATAACTTTGGGTAACTTTTTGTTCTGAAGTTGCATTCTTCTTAAAGGTGCAATTTATAAATTATGATTTTCCTTGTCTCCTTCCTACCTTCTTTATTTCTTCTCTCCCACCTCATTCTCTCTCCCCAGACTTCCCTTATTCCTAAGGCATGCAGATGGGCTAAAGGTTCATCATCTTATGGGAGCTTCAGGCTGAGGGGTGG